AATACGTAAAAATTACGGCAATGTTCAAATTATCTTAGATAGAAATTCATAAAAGTTTTTCTTTTTAATTCTAAGATTTGAAAATTTATTACAAGGCTCCTAACATATTTTTACAATAGAAGTTGAAAAATAAAAGAAATACATAGTCACAATGGTTAGGACTAGAAATTCATAAAAAATTGTATTTTTAAATCTAAGATTTGAAAATTTTTAATAATCTATAATAATATAATATAATATAATATAATATAATATCCTAGACCTAGACAGGTAAACCGTCTTCGCTCAATATCGTTTTTCGTATACAATGATATAATATCATTGGATTCAAATTTAATTCCATCCATTACAGTAACCCACTTGTAACCTACTGTATTACAGCAGAGCGACATCCACGACTTACCCGCCTTTTTTAAATTTTATTTATTATTTATTGAATAAAAAATGTTTATTAAATTTTAAGAATATAATGTTTTCAAAATGTTCATTGGTCATACTGCTTCTCTTTTTGGTCATGATTTCTCCACCCACACTAAATACCCGCTCCACCGAAGCACTGCTTGGCAGCGGAGTATTGAATTTMATGAAAAAATAAAAAATAAAATGTTTGAAATAAAAAACCAAAGTATTCGATACAATTTTATTGAATAATTTGACGCATAGAGGTATTAGGAGTTCTCAATTCTGAAAACATAATCGTGTATACATTATATTACATTAAAGAAAACTAGTTAGTCGTGTTGATATGTATTATTACTACAACGACTGTACAATAAAATAAATTATAGGATTATGTTCTCTAATAAAAACCATAAATAGGTATTTAGTTTGGTAATTTTAGCATATTTACTGCAGACTGTAATGTAATGCATTGCAAGTTTCCACACCACCTTAGCTTATTAAACGATGACAATGTATAATATTATGTCGCATTTAATGTCACATGAGGTATTGCAAGAGGCGCGTTTTTTTTTATTGTGGTGTCCCCATGTAGGCCTATTCCACAAAGAGGAGAATGGGAGTGAACTGCCGG